AAGTCCAGACTGTTATCCAACCAAATTATTTTATTTCCCAGGTGCATGAGAAAGGAAAAAGTACAGAATTTCTTGTGCTTTCATGAACAATGTAAGCAAGCTCAGAAAGCAATTTCAAAGGGAAAACACAAGAAGAGACAATAAGGTCACCTCTGAGTTGCCTAGATTTTGCCTCCTTCTCTCAAGAGCTCAGTGTGGAAGGTGAGAGAGGTGTTGGCCATTTTCCTCTGATAGTCTGCATCAAATCTCTCATTCTGTGCCACTGTGAAGTAATTCTTCCAGTCTCCCACAGTTCCTAAAAGTCAACAATACATCTGAGAGATTGGTTGGGAAGTCTATTCTGATTCCTTTTTCCCTGTAGTTAAACTTCAGACATAATGAAAAAGCACTAATTCTTAATATAGGTACACATCACAATCTATGTTCTCTCTCTTTCTTTCTTTCTTTCTTTCTTTCTTTCTTTCTTTCTTTCTTTCTTTCTTTCTTTCTTTCTTTCTTTTTCTTTCTTTCTTCTTCCTTTTTTTGTTTTTTAATGATGCAAAGTGCATGTGTGTGCAGGTGAGTGTGAAAGAACATCCCCACCAGGTCTGGACAGGCAGTGATCCCTTAACCCAAGCCCTCCAGCTCCTAAGGACCTTGGACACCAGTATCTGTCAGGAACACCCTGAGGCCCGCAGAGAGCCAAACCCATCCATGGTCGGCATGTGACGTACAGCACTGCAATTCAGCACAGCGTGAACTGTGCGCCTTGGTTGACCTCATTATCTCTTGTTTTCAAAGATTAATATCTTAAGAAACCCCCTGAGTTACTGGCAGCATGATAGTTAAAAATGAAATGAGCATATTAACCCTTTCCCAAAATACCAGTTGTGTAAGATCATCATTCTTAAAGGAGTGCACCATGGCTAGTACGTACCCTTCCTCATGAACGGGGAGATGGAATGGTCCATGATGGCAGAAGGCAACATGGTGAAGTTGGTTACTGGGTTTTCCTTCATGTTTTCAAATGAAGTGTGCTGAACGATCCTGTGGACAGTCTCTTTATCTAGCTTCTTACCCATAAATTCTGTTATCTTTTGAATTTCATGTTCTGGGTTCTGTGGTGAGTGGGGGGTGGGACAAGTGATCATGAGAGGATTTTGGTGAAAAGGAAAGCAAGGGAACAACGTCTGGGAAGAGTCCTTTGAGTTTCCTGTATCTTAGTGTTTATGATGTTCGTTTTCCTCACCTAAGGAATGCAGGGGTACTACTGGGGGGAGTTTGAAGTGGTCATGGAGAAATGGAATTAAAGTATGAGTTTATTTTTGTGCAAAAAAAATTGGAAATCTATGCATTGCTTTTTCTTAGTTTTCCATAAACTTTTTGAAGACCCCTTAAACATTCTCTTGATGTCTCTTTCTCTTCCGTTCCTTCTACTTTTTTCACTAGTCGTCTGCCTCCCTGTTCAGAAACATGTGGCACCTCCCACTAATGGGCCAAATACATGTAGCAGCTGTCCCTCTCCCCTTGTAATGCTCTCTGGGCCTCTGGTCCCACTCTGGTACCCCATCCCTGCCTCTGCCCAGACTCAGCCCTGGATTCTGTCCTTCCTTACCCACTGAATTTCCTTCATTCTTTCTCTGCTAGATGCCCCGTTAGCAGTAATATTGAGTTGTCGGAAAAGTCATGATGTACTTTTCTGTTTCTCTATGCCAAAGTGCGTCATGATTTTCCAGTGACCATGTACCTGACCATTGTTCCTGAACTATTTTCCTCGCTTACGGGTGTTGCCCTTCCACATTCATTTTCGCTTCTCAATGGTGTCAATCATAGAAGAAGATTTTTTTTTGTTTCTGAATGTTTGAAATTGGAGGAGATAGAGCAGTGAAATCAGATGGGTAGGTATTTTAATAATGTAAGGAGGAGTATTAGGTATATTTGTCTATACTGAAGATTGACAGGCAGAACATGTGAGCGGGCACCCTGCAAGTGCCCTGCTCTGCTACACTGCAGTGCTGAGTGGGGGGCGTTCTGCCTCACCTCCTTCATGTCCTCGTAGAAGAGGTAGAGGATCCGGTGCTTGTCCTTCTCCTTCCACCACCCTTTCACGTGGTCGTACCAGGGGCCCATGCACACTGAAAGAAAGCAGGCAAGCTGGGGTGGGGGCTTTCCTGCAACTGGCAGATGAAACTCCCGGGGTGGGGCTGAGGCTTCACTGGGAGGCGTGTAGGGGAAACCTCAGAACTGGATGGTCTTGATCTCCCTCTGGCTCACTGTGGAGACATTGCTAAGAATTCAAAGGAACCATGGGGCTCACTCACCCTCTCCATTCATAAATGCTTCGAAGTACTGGGCCCATGTGCTAGAGTGTGGCAGGGCTGAGGTCATCCGATAAAAGTGGTAGTAAGACACCATGCTGTCCTTGGCATTCGAGAGAGACTCCTCTTGTTGATGTCTTAACTGTGGATGGGAAGACCGTTCCCACAGGAGATCCGCACGCACAGCGCCTCAGGGAGACTGCAGCAGGCAGTCTATTCAGGAAATGCCCCGTGCTCCTCATCCTGGTTTGCGCAAGTTTTATTCAGATGTTCTTTGTTTGGTAAGTGGAATAATATTTTGTTTGCTTCAGGGTGACACTGCATTTCTGACGTGCTCCCAGGGCCTAGGTCCCTTCCTTTTTCTCCTTGGCAAAGGACCCAAGGACTCAGCCGTTTCATTTCTGTTTCAATCCTGACTTTGCCCCAGTTAGCTCTCCGTGTCGGTAGCCCTGACATGCTCCTCTCACCCCTGGCACTGCAGAACAGAGCAGAGCAAAGGGAGCTCCCTTACTACCCGCTAGCAGGACACGGTCCCAGGTGCTTCCAGTGTCTCAGCTCATTGATTCTGCCAGTTTCATGACAGTGGGATGACTGCCCCCAACATTCAGAAGAGGAAGCAGGTTGGAGAGCTGAGGTGAGCAGCACAGGCCGCATGCCTGCTGGTTGGAGAGCTGAGGTGAGCAGCACAGGCCACATGCCTGCTGGTTGGAGAGCTGAGGTGAGCAGCACAGGCCTTATGTCTGCTGGTTGGAGTGCTGAGGTGAGCAGCACAGGTCTTATGTCTTCTGTTTGGAGGGCTGAGGTGAGCAGCACAGGCCACATGCCTGCTGGTTGGAGAGCTGAAGTGAGCAGCACAGGCCGCATGCCTGCTGGTTGGAGGGCTGAGGTGGGCAGCACAGGCTGCATGCCTGCTGGTTGGATGGCTGAGGTGGGCAGCACAGGCCACATGCCTGGTGGTTGGCAGAGCCATGGCTGCATGTTTGAAGTGTGCTCATACTTGCTCTGCTGGGCTGCTACTTGTGTGAGGAGGGCAGGTGTCCCTCCCACTCAGTCCTGCAGGTGAGCACACAGACACTGGCCGCTGAAACATTCTGTGGCTAGTCACTGCTAGAAAGCGGGCACAGGACATCAGTAAAAAGAATTTAAATGGGGTTTAATGGTAGTTAAGGCTATCTGGAGGGGGCAGGGTAGTTAAGGTTCTAGACTCGCACCTGGCTGGACACAGTTCAAGTCCTAGACCTTGCCGGGAAGCAAATTCTTACGACACTCTTCCCACCTCATTTATTGCTAACATATGCCTTAAAGTTTTTTTTTTTTTTTTTTGGTGGGGGAGAGATTTTTGCTACAGGGCTATTGTGCTCGCCAGAAAGTCAGAGAGAAACTGAGAGATAGAAAGTAAGAAATCACCCTCTTTGATGGATGGCCATGCCACAGTACCTTCTCCTCCATTCTCCCCTCGGGGTCTTTGACATGCACACGCCTGCACCCAGTGTGAAGTTAAGCCACTTGGTCTGGGACTCAAACCACATTAGACTACATGGGAGTTCAGCAACACAGCTATTACGCCATCTGCTGGTCCCTGCATTCAAGTTTTTATTTACGTGTTTCCTCCATGAGTGAGACAGAGAGACACCACCACCAGCAGGACATCGACCCCATGATCCACCCAGCCTCCGCCGGCCTGGGTCATGGAATTCCTGGCACATGCCCGGCGTGCTCAGGGAGGTCTCTGGAGGTGGGTTTTAACCTACCCACATGGGTCAGTCTGGCAGAGCACTGTGCTCTACCACCGAGCCTCTGGTCTGGACTCTTTCCAGGATTTTGGCAGCCCCTCACAGGAGCTCACTACAGATGTTAGCAGAGGTCTCCCTGGTTGTTGCTCTTCTGTCACCACTTTTATTAATTGTGGAAATGGCTGGTTTCTCCCCAAGCCATGGGAAGGGTGCTGAGGGCTCTTCTGTGACTCAGGTTCCCAGACGCCACGAACTGACATTGCACTGGGGTCCAATGGTCCAAAGGTTTGAAATTCCATTACAAAGTATGATTTCTATGGGGTAGATTATCCCCCAACACGGTACCCATGGTCATTCCTATGCTTTGTTCACAAGACACTAGGCAGAACTTTAGAAAACCCTCACAGACAGGCACCAATGGAAGAGAGTAGAGATGACAGGAAAGGACAGAGTTTAATTTCAGTCACTTCAGGGTTGATGTGTTTTAAATGATATGTGGTGAGTTAGTGCAACTACTCATTCATGTTTCCAAGAAGAGGTGCTAGCTGATTTGACGTATGACAGTCTAAGTGCTTTCAAGGATTAGCAGCCAGGGATTGCGAATTAACAATGTCGTATATAACAATACTGTAATCGTCACAGATTATCTGTAAGCACATGGAGCTATTGGTTGGTGTGGGAACAATGAGCATATGTGAGTACAAGTCAGTCCTTAAATTGGAAGTTGGTTAACCCACCTTCAATCAATGGCTCAGCAAGACATTTTTCTTAGCTGTTAAAAATGAAGTGTGGCCTGAATTTCCACAAATCCAGAATCATCTCAGTGAAATGGGAGGTCCACGTTCCATCAGGCAGCGCTCTTCTATTCCCTTCTGCTCTTACCTTGCAGTTCTTTTCCCAAATGGATGGTGGCATCAGTTGGAAGGGAAGATGAGTTTTAATAATCCGTGGGGAAGGCATCGCACTGAGATCTAACAAACCTGTAAATTGATTTTAATTTTATTTCTAAGAAATTGATGTGAATCTGTTTCCACTTAGGTGCTTTGTTTGCTGAGGCTTTGAGGACAATATTGTCAGCTAATGAGTCCCATCGAGGCCATGC